AAAAAAGCTATAATGGATATTGTGAGAGAGATTGTAGGATTGAATGGCTGAAGGCCATAACTTAAGTCTCAAAAGGACGGCGCCAAGAAACAAAATTTTGTTTTCCTATTAATTATTAACTATATTCACTGATTTTTTCACTATGTAATATATTGAAGGAACTAGGCATTTGGGACACATTTATGATCAGTTTTCCTCTATCCAGCAAAACTTATTTTTTCTCAACTTATTCAATCACAATGGTAATCTGAAGCTGAATGTCTGTTTCAAGACGCATTACTTGGTACTTTTTCGTGTCAGCACGTTGCTTTTCTTCCAAACGCGCTTTTTCATCATTTGCCGCCGCCCAGTCGCCATTCTCCATTAGACGCATGTCCGGCCGAAGTCGAGAATCCGTTGGTGCGACGCCCTCCTTAGATCTTTCTTGATTATTTTCTATTCAGAATATTAGCTGTGCCTAAGTTTTGAGGCACTATTTTAAATCGCCTATTTCACCGCTAAAGCAAATTCATTAATTCTCGCTAACAGAGCTAACCGTTGCTCCTAGTACTTGCTACTTTTGGACGTATCTTCGCCTCTCATACAAAGCGAATTCACAGGGAATTTTGACTGACTTTTCAAATGTTTCTTAGCACAATGGATTTGACAAAATAAGACGATTCTCGCACCGCCTCTGCAAACTTTTTATGTAAAGACGTGTCTGGTTTTCGCCAGCGGCTTTATTCATAGTAGGCATATTAAGGAACCTTCACCAGAGGAGTCAAAACCACCATAAGCTTGCTTCTAAGCAACCCTCAAATTCGAAAGCGCACAGCAAACTTGACCGCAGGCGACAGATGCTGATTACTTGCAACTGCTCAGGGTCATCTGAGTTGTGTTTCAGGAAAAGTGAAATAAATAGGGAATTCTGATCTTTTACATTTGAAAAATTAGCCAAAGCTTCTTGTGGAAAATGCTAGATGCCGGGGTCGAACGGTCTGGCATAGCTCCGCTCGGCGTGTTGGAGTATCCTAGTAACAGTGCTAACAGAGGGATCCAGCATTGATAGACCGAGCGGTCTTAGTACTCTTGTTATTGAAAACCACGTGTTATCAAGCCGCCAGAAATTTCTAATTAATGCCTTTCCGTAAGACGGTTGCTGAGGTGCCCTCCCTCGAAAAATGCATCACTGCACTGATCGAAGATAACAACTGTGATAATTCGATACTAGTTTACACGTTTGCCCTGGTCTTACAGCTTTGAAAACAAACTTCTGGTTCATTAAGCTCAATAGCCATAGCCGTGAAATTATACATCAATTCCGATTCTGGTGGTGGAGCTTTCCTCGTCCATATCACTCGTCCATCCTGAAAAAGATGCAATAAAATTATCAGCCAAACTGCAAAATTTATTTGCTATGCTGGTCATTGTGGTAAGGGCCGACAACATAAGAGAAGAGATGAACATGATGCGCAACAGAGCTAGTGCTGACTCAAAAGGGCTAAAGCACTGGCAAAATAATTTTGTCAGGATTCTCTTGTTAAGCTGATTAATCTCGCTAGGAAGTGGAACGAAGGCTGACTGTGCAGTATTGAACAAAGGAGCTGGCCTAGCTATACCGTTGAAGAACCAATTTATAAACCGCAGCTATTACAAATACTGCAATAATACTAGTAATAATATGATTTACCTTAGCATTTGCTCGCGTAACAGTGCATTTTTGGGTCCAGTCCCCTTCC